ATTGTAGTACTGAATGTAGAGTAATGTAGAGTATAAAACTGTGATTGATATTGTATATTTTTGCTTTGCAGCTGAAATGGACCAGTTCCTGAACACTGCTGGAGGAGCGGCCATCCCCAAGAAGCCAAGGAAGAAGTCAAAGACTTCAACCAAACAAGTGGATGAGGGGAGGACCAGGAAAGAGGCAGTGCTTGCGGCTTCAGCTAAGACGGAGGAGGAGGTGCCACAGCTGAAGAGGAAGGGCTGGGAGGAGAGGAGGGCGCTGCAGAAGAAGTAGAGGGTGGTGGAGGAGGAGACGGGGAATGAGGTCTTTGCGTTCGTACCTCAGCCTTCTCCTGTTGAGCTGGACCTTAAGCTCAGACAATTGGAGGAGGGGGCCGAGGTATGAGCTCCTGGTAAGGGAAAGGGCCCTATTCCCCCACTGGGGCCTTAGAGCAGCCTGTTCGAGGCGAAGAACATAACGGGGGCCAGGTGGTTCATCAACAACACCTTCCCCGAGGTGGACCAAAGCAACGCGCGGGAGGAAGCTCTGAGGTACGGTGGAGCGTCCGTTGTGAAGCATGTTCTAGAGGTAAGTTAAAGCATCCCTCTGTTTAGTTAATCTGTGTCGCCTTCTCTTCGTTCTTCTTTTTTTTTATTTTAACTTCAGTTTTGATCTGCAAAGCGCGAGTTAGGTGAATGGTCTAGCCCAAGAATTCAGGGAGAGCCTAAAGGATCGCGCACTCTTGCAGAGGCAACGGGACCAGCTGCAGAAGGAGAAGGAGGAGTTGGAGAAGAAAAATAAGGAGCTGCAAGAGTCTCTAAACGAGGTGGTTCCAACCGTTTCACAATTGGAGCAGGAGAGGGCTTCCCTGAGCACCAAGCTCACTTTTAAGGAGAGCAAACGAAGGATCGCTGAAAGCGAGCGTGAGGCTCAGGCACAAGAAATGAAGCTGATGACGGAGGCATTCAAGGAGCTGAAAGGGAACATGCGGAAGTTAGTGCATAATGGGATGAAGGAGCACATCAGCAACTTCATCAGTTCCAGCTCCTTTGATAGCATCGTCAACCTGTACCGGCTGCCCACTACCATCATCGCTTTCACAGACTGCAGAAAGAAGGTGAAGGCTGAATATCCCGAAGTGGATGTGACGAAGATCACCTTCGGCGAGCAAGAAGAAGGAGTGGAGGAGGATGGCGAGAGCATGTTAGCAGACTTCCGTCCTTAGATTAAGCTGAGGTGGGAGAATGATGCAGACGGTCTTGCTGTTTTTCCTCCACAGTTCGACTTCGAGTTCGTTGTAATGGAGGAAGAAGGGGCAGAGGTAGAGGAGGGCGAGATGGAGGCAGGAGTGGAAGGAACTGAAGTGGGTGAGGTCCAACCAGTTCCAGAAGTGGAGATTCATCCAGTTCCTTCTGACGATGAGAAGCCTCCTCTGTCGATGAGAAGCCTCCTCTGTCGATGAGAAGCCTCCTCTGTCGATGAGAAGCCTCCTCTGTCGGATGAGCAGCAGCCAACTCAGCCACCTCCTCCAGCTGAGTAGGAGCCAGTGGAGCCACCTCTCCCATCAGGGAAATAATTTTGTTTTTGATTTTTTGTAAAGACTATTAAAGAGTTTGTAATATTTATATTATTCTGAATGAAAATTCATTTTTGAAATTATGTGTTTATTTATGTTTGCCTGCTTATTATTATATATTGATAGAAGAACCGAGACTACTTTTAAAAAAGAAAGTTAATAAAAAGAAGTTAATCACTTCAGAAACAAACCATAGAGAAAGAAACCTTTTCAAGTGAGTTAAGAACAATTACATCACTGTAAATGAATAGATGGGAAATGAAGCACTTCATATGTGAAGTGAAATTTATTAATCAGAGGTGAGGTTCAAGAAATGAAAGAACTAATTGACCTCGGGTATATAGAATAAGAAGTAAAATGAATCTCAACAAACACGAAGTGAGAAGCGTAAAGAACAGTAAGACCTAGAACACTTGAAAGAATTTTATTAGGGGTAAAATTTCTTCAAGTTATTGACATTCCAGACTCTAGGAACTCTCATTCCTTCAGCATCTTGGAGAATATAGGCACCAGGATGTGGCACTTCGGCCACGGCATAAGGGCCTTCCCAATTTGGGGCAAGTTTGCCAAAACGAGTTTCGAACCCCGTTAGGCCAGCTTTTCTGAGAACAAGGTCTCCTACTTTGAAAGTTTGAGGGTGGACCCGTTTATTGTAGAAGTTGGCTAGCTACTGCTTGTTTACAAGAGTTCAAAGCCGAGCTTCTTCTCTGACTTCGGCAAGCAGATCAAGGTTTTCCCGAAGCAGTTGTCCATTTCGCCCTTCATCGAAATGGGTGACCCGGAAGCTTGGGACTCCTATTTCAACAGGAATGACTGCTTCGGTACCAAAGGCCAAGTGGTAGGGTGTTTCATCTATTTCAGTTGATTATAACTTTAGAATGCGCTTTATGCATTATGCATATTTGCTCTAAGGTTAAGCATAACCGAAAAAGTAAAATAATATAGAAATTATTCAAATAAACTCGGTTTAAAGTAGTACCTGTGGCAGTTTGGCTCGTGGTTCTGTATGCCCAGAGGACATTGTTGAGCTCGTCTGCCCACTTGGCCTTATGCTGTTCCAATCTCGGCTTTATACCTTCTAAAATGCATTTGTTAACAGATTCAACCATGCCATTGGACTCCGGATGGTAAACGGAGGTGAACTGCAACTTAATCCCATAACTGGAACAGAAATCTCGGAATGAGGAGCAATTGAATTGAGTTCCATTATCAGCCACAATCTGATTCGGGATCCCATATCTGCAGATGATCGAGCTGAAAACAAAATCTTCGACCTTCTTAGAAGTAAGACTAGATAAAGGCCGAGCTTCTACCCACTTTGTGAAATAATCCACACCAACAACCAGATGGGTTACACCTCCAACCCCTTTCATGAATGGGCCTAAAAGATCCAATCCCCACTGACCAAATGACCACGGTGCTACCATGTTCGTGAGTTCCTCTGCCGGTTGGTGAGTCAGATGTGCGAAGAATTGACATTTCGGGCATTTCTGAACAAAGTAAATGGCATCTTTATGCATGTTTGGCCAGTAATATCCTTGCCTTAAGACTTTGTGAGCCAGAGTCCTAGCACCGACATGGCTCCCACAGACACCCTCATGCACCTCTCGAAGTGCATATTCAGCTTCATAGGGGTTTAAACACCGTAAAAAAGGAAGTGAGAAAGATCTCTTATACAGGACCCCATCAACGAGGGTATACCGAGATGCTTTCTTTCTCAACTTCATTGCCTCCTGCCTGTCTTCAGGTACTATCCCATCTCGCAAAAAGGAGACGATTGAATCAGTCCAGCTCGGCGTGTCTGGGTTTGTGCTAATCTCCATCACCCGAGGCTTCATGAAGCTTGGTTCATCTAAGATTTCTACAAAAACGGATCTGGAACTTAAAGAGCTGTCAGAGGCAAACTTGGAGAGTGAATCTGCCTGTTCATTCTCAGCTCTGGGGATTTTACTCAGACAGAATTTCTGGAATCTGCACTTCAGCTCGGCTACCAAGGCTACATACTTCACCATTACGGGATCAACAACTTCACAAATTGAGTTAATTTGGTTTACCACCAACTGGGAGTCACTGTATACTTGAATTGCACTGATTTTCAACTCCAATGCTAGCTGTAGCCCAAGTAGCAGAGCTTCATACTCAGCCATATTATTTGTCGCATCAAAGTTGAACTTCAAGGCATGTTCGCTTCGGTATCCTTCTGGACCAATCAAGAGAGCGCCAGCCCCTGAACCCTTGCTACTAGATGCTCTGTCAACATATAAGGTCCAGTCGTTGGGCTCTGGAGTAGAGGTTGAAGGACATGGGGTGCATTCGACAATGAAATCTGCTAGTGCTTGAGCTCGGATTGCGGATCTCTGCTGAAACGTGATCTCAAACTCCCCCAGTTCTACTGCCCACTTAATTAATCTTCCAGAACATTCTGGTTTCTGCAGAATCTGTCGGAGAGGTTGATCTGTGAGAACGATGATTGGGTGTGACTGGAAATATGGCCTCAATTTCCTTGCCGAAGTGACAACTGCTAGTGCTACTTTCTCTGCTATAGGATATCTCAGCTCTGCTCCGTGTAATACACTGCTGATATAATAGATTGGTTTCTGTTGCTTGGCTTCCTCTCTCAACAGAACTGAACTAATGGCCTCTTCTGAAATCCCCAGGTACAAGTAAAGAATCTCTCCATCGACAGCCTTAGTCAGTAGAGGTGGTGAGCTAAGATAAGACTTCAGCTTGTCGAATGCTGCCTGGCACTCCTAACTCCATTCAAATTTCTTCTGTTTTCCTGATTCATCCTTTTGGGCAGCCGACCTCATGATCTTGAAGAATGGCAGGCACTTATCTACTGACTTCGATATGAATCGATGAAGGGCTGCCACTTTTCCAGTCAACCTCTGTATATCTTTTACTGATTTCGGTGGTTCCATCTTGGCAATTGCTCTAATTTTTTCTAGATTGACCTCAATCCCTCTTCGGGACACCATGAAACCCAGAAACTTTCCAGACTCCACGCTGAAAATACATTTGGCTGAATTCAACAGCATCCTGTTCTTTCTGAGGTTGTTGAAGGTTTCATCGAGATCGGCTAGATGGTCTTCTGCTTTCCGGCTCTTTACTACGATGTCATCGACATACACCTTTAGATTCTTGCCGATCTGAGCTCGGAAGACGATGGTCACCATTTTCTGATAAGTAGCACCAGCGTTCTTTAAGCCAAACGGCATCATGACATAGCAATAAATTTCATCGCTAGCATAGAACGAGGTTTTCTCTTCATCTTCGGGAGCCATTGGCACCTGGTGATACCCAGAATATGCATCCAAGAGGCTTAACCTCTCATTGCCTGAAGCCGCTTCAACTAATTTGTCAATGCTCAGCATCGGATAGCAATCCTTGGGGCAGGCGTGGTTAAGATTTGTATAATCAATGCACATTCGCCATTTACCATTTACCTTCTTCACCAGGATTGGGTTAGCCATGCGAATACATCATTATTGTCTCGGAGAAAAGCTATTAACTCTACCTTTTCCTCTGGGTTCAATCTAGTTCCAATCTGTGTCTTTCGGCTCGGATCTCTGTCATCAACGAGCACTTCTTCAACATCTTCGACTGGAGCAGCTCTGGCTTCATCGTCCGGTTGATTATCGACGATCTCTACACCCATAACTTGCTGAGTATCAGGAATTCGCTGGGGAATGGCCTCGGGTGTCTGATCTTTGCCCTTCGTTGGTTGTGTTACTAAGGTGATATAACAATGTCTGGCCACCTCTTGGTTTCCTCGCAGTGTTGCTATTCCCATAGGAGTTGGGAACTTCATGCAGAGGTGAGATTGGGAAACCACAGCTCGGATTTCAGTCAATGTAG